ATGTGATATTTCTGATTGCACATGCTCAAGAATTTAGCCAATGTTTTGGGCCCTACAAAAAGCAGATGCAAGGCATTAAGGAGAATGGGTTCTACAAGGAAAATGTGATCTTAAAATCCTCAAGTGTAAGACAAGTGGCTAAGGAGGTATCAACCTCTACGGCATCCCCTACCTCACCTTGATACTCCATTCCACCTCACCCACCCAAAGTCAAGTAGAACTGCTTGATGCCTTACCTCCATCAGAGGCCAGTGTAAATTTTTCTCATCACCACAGTTTCTGGAAGTGGTTATGACATTCCAAAAATCTGCAATGGCAGAATTAAGATAAAATTTCCATCAAGAGGCTAGGAAGGAGAAAAATGCCACATAAGGTTGGAAATTTCCCATTTTCCAGTGATAGGTGTCATTTATTTCTAAGTTAGGTTTAGTATCAGTAAATTAGTTTGAAAGGTTTATCTAAAAAGTGTCATAAACTCCTTCCTTCTAATATATCCCTTACTTAGAATCTATGTAAAAGTTGTAACAGAATATTCTAGGCTTTGATGACAGGTAATGATCTGGAGCTTTTGTTACCACTGCACGTAACACTTCTATGCTATAGTGCTCACTCCAGGTTCAGTGCTGTAGATTTTTCTATTTCTACATGAGGGCAAAACTGAATAAGAAATGGCGGTTGCCTTTTAAATCAAGGTAACATTTAGAAATGATTTAAGAATCTTGGTTGATGAGAACACAGACTTTTAAGATTCAGTCATTAGGTTTGTTTTTATCTTTTTCAAGTTTGAAACAGGTTCTAAATAATGTTCTATCACCCTGTTATAAAGCATTTATAAATGGCATTGCATAAAATTGTTTACATGTTTCTTGAACATGATAAAACACTTCTTATAATAAATTATTATGGAAAAGACAGTGCTATTAATCATCCATTAAATGTTAATAACATTTATCAATGTTTATTTCCTTTAAAGTGGCAAGAAAAATAGGTATTTCATATTGAAAATATAAACTGAAGTATTTAATTTTTTTCTAGATTTGATTCTAGACTTACACAGATTTTTACTTTTGAAAAATCCCAGTTATTGACATTAATGTAGATAAATAGAGCATGTTTACATTTTCATAAGACACAGTCTCTACAGTAAAGAAGAACTATATGATAAGTAAGAAAATGATTCATATTGTATTGTGCACTATAATTTTAAAACATTCTTTGTATTTCTTAACAGGAAACTGTCTCTAAATATTCATTCACTTTCTTATTTAGAATATTCCATCTTCTAATGATGATTACTTAACTTGGGAATATTCAGATTAATAGATCATGATAGCATCAAATTAATTTGATATTTCCCCACAGAATCACTAGCAACACTCTAGGTGTATGGGTGCTACAAAACTGAAATGGAGCTGCAAGGGTGGCTCTCCTTAGGAAATGGATGCCCAGTATATGATAATGGGTGGTAAATAAAATCAGGACTTAGACTTTTAAGGAGGTTGGGGAATATTGTGTTAACGAAACCACAGCCGATATCGTAGGTGTGGATCTATTGTACTCTGTGTTCAAGTATGACTGTATTCAGATGAGGTTTTGCTGCAGAGTCTTCCTTGAGAGAGTGGGCCTGACTATGTCAATGCTTTGGAAGAATTTAGGTGCTAGACTAAGAAGTAGAGCTTATAAGGAAAGTCAAATTTGGGCCAGTATGAGCAAAGAACCTCATTTTAGACTTAGCATTGTTGAGCTGAGACCTTCAGGAATCTAAAAATATGTATGTGCTCTTTTTCATGATAGTTACTGCAATTTTTGCTTCCTGGTGATACTCTATCAGTTTCATAGAGAAGCTTCTCTCTAGAAGTCCTCAAATTGAAAACAAGCAAACTGCACCTTACAGATCATATTATCTAAGTTTGTGTTTTCCCCTGTGTTTATTTCCTTTTGGTTATCCTCTAACTCAGGTCATTTTAAAGCTCTGTTCAATGGAAAGATCTAGTGATTCCAAGGACCCTCCTTCAGAAGACAGATGGTAGGATTCCTGATTCTGCTTCGCCTGGAGCAGCTCCATGTTGATTGAAGAAAAAAAATTAATTTATTAATTTGAGAGTGCACGTGAGAGAGAAACATTGATTTGTTGTTCCTTTTTTTTTCCATTCATTGGTTTATTCTGGTATGTTTCTTAACCTGGAATCAAACCCACAACCTTGGACTATGGAGACTATGGTAGTCTCAGACCAACTGAGCTACCCAGCCAAGGCTGAAAATTTTTTTTAAAGTGACAAATTTAAGCCACTATCTTAATCGTCACTAAAATTAACAGTGCTGTGAAATATTCAGAGTTGAGTTTTGTGGCTATTTGTGGTTATTTCTCTACTCATGTCTCTTCAAACCTTCATTTCCACCACTGGCTAGTATGGTGGTCTGTATAGTAACTAGCAACAAAGAGAAAATAAATTTCAGAAAATATTTTGGAGCTTTGATTTGCAATGGTAATTGCCTCCTGTGAATTTCTCACTCCATTATTGAATGTTTCATTTTTATAAGGTCATAGTTTCCTTTCTTAACATAATTTTTTTTCTAAGAGTTGCAGACATGGCTGGCCAATTATGTTAGAAGTATGGAAAGGTGAAGAGAGGTTTGTAATACTGTTGTGGACCGATCTGCCTGGTTTCAGGAATTGTAACTGCCCCCCATGGCTGAGCCGCAGGAGACAAAGCTTGTCTTTGGTAGCAAACGCTGCCTCAGTTTCCTCCCTGCCCCCTAAGCATTGTCAGTATTCCATAATGGGTAAATCTCCTCACAGCAAGGGGCAACATAAGCCAGACTCGATCACTTGGGAGGCCATCCTGGAAGGACTCGGGCTGTGACAAAGAGTGACCAATGGACCCTTGTCCCCTGGCTATGTGACATAGCCTGAGTCCTCTGGGAGAAGCACTTCCTGGCTCTAATCCACTTAAGCCTGAAAACCTGATGGGGAGGAATGCAGCTTCTTGCTTTGCTAGAGTGGATCCAGGGAAAAATCTGGCATCACAAAGGATTCCTAAAAATCCTGTGAAACCTGCTTGGCTAAGAGTGTTTTCATTCATATGTTAAGGTTTCAAGCAGGAAACCCTAAAACTCTGTTCCTGACAGACTCTGACTCAGACTAAGCCCTCAGATTTCTTTGAAATGTTATCTACTATTTGATCCTTGCCGCCCTGTATTCCTATGTATTACAACCCAATAAAAATCCCTGGAGGAAGGGGCTCAAGACCTTTTTATCCTTGGAGAAACTGGCCACCTCTCCTCCCCAAGCAGATCATGTCTTGGTAGTGTGTACTTTCATCCATGGCGAATGGGGAGACTTGAGGGTAAAGTCGCCCCCACATAATACACTAATTCTAAATTAATATAACTGTAAATATAGTCCCTTAAAGTAGAAATCTATGAATTGGAAAAGCTTTCATTTGAAGTATCTTCAGATGGTATTCATTGGTGAATATACATGGGAATTCAAAGTACCTATCAGCACAACGTCTACATGTTTACTATATGGCGTAATGGATTCCTCAACTCTTGGTTTAGCATTATGTAACTAATTTGGTCATAATTTTTTTCAAGATCTATATATTTGCTAATATGATATTAAGTAAAAAAACTAAAATAACATAGTTTTCTAGCCTTGGCTGGTGTAGCTCAGTGGATTGAGCGCGGGCCTGCGAACCAGAGTATCATGGTTTGATTCCCAGTCAGGGCACATGCCTGGGGTGCAGGCCAGTCCCCAGCAGGGAACACATGAGAGGCAACCATGCATTGATGTTTCTCTCCCTCTCTCCTTCCCTTCCCCTCTAAAGATAAATAAATAAAATCTTTAAAAAATAAAATAACATAGTTTTTTAATGAAAATTAACCATTAATGAGTGCTTACTAATTTCTACACTGTATACTAGGTACATACACTACTGCATTTCATTCTTAAAACAACCCTGTTACCTATTATTATACCTATTATAGATATTACCATTGATTTCTGAAGGCAACCAAAGTGATCTAACAACACATATTTGACCACTGTCATGCGATTTGCAAATATCCTGATTTTTTCATTAGGTGGCTTTTTCATTAATAGGCATAATAGAATATTTTTTGTACTATATTATGAATCAATAAAATGTGAATATCTGTATTTGAAAAAAGAACTAACATAAAATGAACATACTGTAACACCAAAGTAATCCCATTTTACCAGAATACCAGAATAGTATTTTATAATGCCATGGCTCATACTAATCTCTGTTCTCATTTTACATTTGGTTATATACCCTTCTAAATATTGATATATAGATAAAGGTATATTGTTAGCTGCATATAATATGTATAGATTTTAGTTAGGATCACACTAGTTAGATCACATGGTATGTTTTTTATGATATATTTTTTATTCAATTATTTTTCAAGTACAGTTTTCTGTCTATTACTCCCATCCCAGCCCACCCTGCCTCGCGCTCCCCACCTCCCTCCCGTTTCCACCCCCCTTAGTTATTGTTCCTGTGTCCTTCTTATTTGTTCCTCCAAATCCCTCCCATATTTCCCCTTAAATTCTCTCCCCTCTCCCCTCTGGTCACTGTCAACCTGTTCTCTATTTCAGTGTCTGTGGTTATATTTTGCTTGCTTGTTTGTTTTGTTGTTTAGCTTCCTGTTAAAGGTGAGATCATGTAGTATTTGTCTTTCACTGCCTGGCTTATTTCACTCAGCATAATGCTTTCCAGTTCCATCCATGCTGTTGCAAAGGGTAGGAGCTCCTTTCTTTCTGCTGCATAGAATTCCATTGTGTATATGTACCATAATTTCTTGATATGTTTTTATTTATTTTGTTCATCGTCGCCCAAGGACATTTTTTCACTGCTTTTAGAGAGAGAAGAAGGAAGAGAGGGAAACATTGATACAATGTGTGCCAGGTCTAGGAGTCATACACACTTGGACCAGGGATCAAACTTGCAACCTAGGTATGTGCCCAGACTGGGAAAAATATAGAAAGCTTCACAGATTTGCATGCCATTGTTGTGCAAAGGCCATGTTAATCTTCTCTGTATTGTTTCCATTTTAGTATATGTGCTGCCAAAGTGAGCACTGATATGGTATTCTTTTAAAAACTTCATATAAGGCTGATGGATAACCACATTGGAAAAGAGTTTGGGAATTGACTGTGGTAGTGAGCGGGGTGGAATGGTGGAGGAGGGAAAAGGGGGAAAATTGGGACAACTGTTGTAGAATAATAGTAAAAAATGATTTAAAATTAAAAGAAAAAAGTTCAAAATCGGGGTAAAAAGATTAATGTTTTACATATATGAAGAAACTGATTGAGGCCATAATTTCTTTGTTTTAAAGACTTTACTTATTTATTTTTAGACAGAAGAGAAAGGAAGAAAAAGAGAGGGAGAGAGAAACATCCATTGGTTGCCTCCTGTACACACCCAACCAGTGACCAAACCTGCAACCCAAGCATGTGCCCTAACTGGGAACTGAACTGGCAACTCTTTGCCTTACAGGACACCCAACCAACTGACCCACAGTGGTCAGGGTGAGGCTGTAATTTCTAATGGTTGTTTGTACCCCATCATGTTAATTAAATTATCTGTTTTTGAATATTAAATTTATTTTCATATATATTGATTTGTAAAACCTTAATTAAAAATGTATTTATTAATTATGCCATTACAGTTGTTCTATTTTCCCCCTTCATTCCCCTCCACCCTGCACACCCCCTCCCCCACCATTCCCCCCTTTAGTTTATGCCATGTGTCACAAGTTCTTTAGATTCTATATTTCCCCTACTATTCTTGCCCTCCCCCACTATCTATTTTCTACCTACCATCTATCCTACTTATTTTCTGTACCTTCTCCCCCCTTCTCCTCCTCCCACTCCCCTGTTGCTAACCCTCCATGTGATCTTCATTTCTATGGTTCTGCTCCTGATCTAGCTGTCTGCTTAGTTTGCTTTTGTTTTAGGTGTGGTTCTTAATAACTGTGAGTTTGCTGTCCTTTCACTGCTCATCTTTTTTATCTTCTTTTTCTTAGGTAAGTCCCTTTAACATTTCATATAATAAGGGCTTGGTGATGATGAACTCCTTGAATTTGATCTTATCTGAGAAGCACTTTATCTGTCCTTCCATTTTAAATGAAAGCTTTGCTGGGTAAAGCAATCTTGGTTGTAGGTCTTTGGATTTCATGACTTCTTTCCAGCCCCTTCTTGCCTGTAAGGTCTCTTTTGAGAAGTCAGCTGACAGTGTGATGGGAACTCCTTTGTAGGTGACTGTCCCCTTATCTCTTGCTGCTTCTAGGATTCTCTCCTTCATTTTAATCTTGGATAATGTAATGATGATGTGCCTTGGTGTGTTCCTTCTTGGGTCCAACTTCTTTGGGACTCTCTGAGCTTCCTGGACTTCCTGGAAGTCTATTTCCTTTGCCAGATTGGGGAAGTTCTCCTTTATTATTTGTTCAAATAAGTTTTCCACTTGTTGCTGTTCCTCTTCCCCTTCTGGGATTCCTATAATTTGGATGTTGGAATGTTTAAAGATGTCCTGGAGGTTCCTAAGCCTCTCCTCATTTTTTTGAATTCTTGTTTCTACATTCTTTTCTGTTTGGTAATTTTTTTCTTCCTTCTAGTCCACTCCCTTGATTTGAGTCCCAGTTTCCTTTCCATTACTATTGGTTTCCTGTGTATTTCCATTAATTTCAATTAGTTTAGCCTTCATATGTTCCTTTATTTTGTGACTATAGTCAACCAGTTCTGTGAGCATCCTGATGACCAGTGTTTTGAACTGTGCATCTGAAAGTTTGGCTATTTCTTCCTTGCTTAGATTTATCGGCTCTGGGGCTCTAAGTTCTTCTTGAGCCATGTTTTGATCTGTTCGTGCCTGTTAGGTATGAGGAGCAGAGCCTTAGTTGTTCACCAGGGCGGGGCCACCAGGGTTGCTGTTTTGTGACACTGTATGTGTGGGTGTGGTCAGAGAGGGCCCCCCCCCAGGTCGCTGGTTTGTGACGCTGTATGTGGGGGTGGGGTCAGAGAGGGACAATGGCGGTTCCCTCTGGCGCTTCCTGCTGCTGGGGCCTTCACGGGCTGTCTCACTGCTAGCTCCTTCACTGGTTTTTCTGCGCACAAATGTGTGACTGTGATCATCCCTCAGTGGGTCCACTGCCTGGTGCCCTCAGTGGGGTCGCCGGCTTCACCACACCTGGGACACGCCCACAGCTGCTGGCGCACCTGGGTTGCACACCGAGTCGGTCCAGTGGATCTTTCCTGCCTGATCCCGCTCTGCTGCTGGCTCTGCCCCTCTTACAGGTTTGGCTGAAGGGTTCATTATTTTCAGACTTCCGCATAGTTCAATTTTCTGTGGTTTGGCTGCGTTTTTATTGCTAAAACTTTGTTGTTTTTACACTTAGTTGTGTGAGAAGGCCCAGTGCTTCCATCTACGCCTCCATCTTGGAGGAAGTCTCAGGATTTAGTTCGTAAAACCTTAATTTTTAAAGTCTGTGCTCATAATAAATATAAAACTCATATCTATATGATATATATACATATATATATATATAATGCTATACATGTGTATGTTTCACTATGTAAAAAGTGGTCATTGAATCATAATATCCATAATTATGAAGATGGTATAATTTTATTTGAAAAGGACAGCTTACTCAAAAGGCAGATTCATTTTTAGTTTTCTTAGAAAATTCCATACTGTTTTCCATAGTGGTTGTACCAGTCTGCAATTCCACCAACAGTGAACTAGGGTCCCCCTCTCTACACAACGCTTGTTGTTTGTTGCTTTGTTTATGATGGCCATTCTGACTGGCGTAAAGTGGTATCTCATTGTGGTTTTAATTTGCATCTTTCTGATAGCTAACAATATGGAGCATCTTTTCATGTGTCTCTGGATCCTCTGTATGTCCTCCTTGGAGAAGTGTCCAAGTCCTTTGCCCACTTTTTAATTGGATTGCTTGTCTTCTTAGAGTGGAGTTGTGTAAACTCTTTGTGTATTTTGGAGATTAAACCCTTGTCTGAGGTATCATTGACAAATATGTTTTCCCATACAGTTGGTTCTCTTTTTATTTTAATACTGTTTTCTTTAGCCATTCAGAAGGTTTTTATTTTGATGAGATCCCATTTGTTTATTCTTTCCATTGTGTCCCTTGCCCTAGGGGACATATCAGTGCTAGGATTATATCCTAAGAACCCTGAAACACAAATCCAAAAGAACCTATGCACCCCAATGTTCATAGCAGCACAATTTACAATAGCCAAGAGTTGGAAGCAACCTAGGTGCCCATCAGTAAATGAATGGATCCAAAAATTGTGGTACATATACACAATGGAATTCTATGCTGCAGAGAGAAAGAAGGAGCTACTACCTTTTGCAACAACATGGATGAAACTGGAAAGCATTATGCTGAGTGAAATAGGCCAGGTGCTGAAAGACAAATAGCATATGATCTCACCTTTAACAGGAAGCTAAACAACAAAACAAACAAGCAAGCAGAAAAAAAAAAAAGAAAGACCCTGAAATAGAGAACAAGGGGACAGTGACCAGAGGGGAGAGGGAAGGGAAGTTAAGGGGAAAAAGGGGGAGGGATTTGGAAGAACAAATAGGAAGGACACAGAGATGAGACCTAAGGGGGGTGGAAATGGGAGGGAGGAGGGGAGCAAGGGGCGGGGGAGTCTGGGATGGGAAAAATAGACAAAAACTGTACTTGAAAAATAACTAAATAAAATTAATTATAAAAAATATATATAAATAAATAAAATCTTTTAAAAAAGTAAAAAAAAAAGTCCTTCACATTAAGAGAAAGTATGTTTTGATTTTAACCAGAGAATCCATCTATGTTTGTTTTTTCACTATACATTCTAATAAGGAGTTATGTTATATATAGAACATAATAATTTGGTTTGTCATATAAAAGTTCACCATAATATTATTATGGATGTGATTGGGCATGTCAGTTCTACCGTATGGTAAAGAGCAAAGGAATTGCTAAGGTTTTGTATACCTAAGTCTCAATTGTTAAGTGTATTTTCTGAGATTTTTTTACATAAATATGATGCATTCTGAAATCTTTACGTCATGCTTGAAGTTTGCTCACCCCTCATGTTTTTGTGCAATATGTATTTTGATTGAGCAAATGTAGCATTAAAAAGGCCTGGCCTGCATGATGCTGACGGTCCACATAAATGTAGCTTTGTGTGAAGGTTGGAAGACACATCCAAATGCCTTTAAACTAAAGGCCTGTGCTCTAAGCCGCCAACACATGAGACCATCCACCCTAGACTCAAGGAATCCCTTCCTTTCAGCTGGAGACCATTCTGGTAATCTGATCCAGGTGCTGATAATCCTGAAGGCTCAGGCATCTCATAAAACCCCTGTACAGGCAGGCATACCTTGTTTTATTGTTTCATTTTACTGTACTTCACATGTTGCAACTTTTATTAAAAAAGAAAAGAAAAGAAAAGAAAAGGGCCCTGGTGGTGTGGCTCAGTGGATTGACTACTGGCCTATGAACCAAAGTGTCACTGGTTCAATTCCCCATCAGGGCACATGCCTAGGTTGCTGTCCGGGTCCCCAGTGGGGGGCACACGAGAGGCAATGACACATTGATGTTTCTTTCCCTCTCTTTCCTTTCCCCTCTCTCAATAAATAAATAAATAAATAATTTAAAAAAGAAGAGGACAGCTTATATCATATATGTAGTTGACTAATTTTTGTGAGGAAGTGACCATGGCTTTCAGGTTAAAGATTGTACTTAGGACTGTAGTCTATTAAATTATAAAAGAGAGAAGGTTAAAAGAAATTACTGCCCATCACATACCAACTCAAACAATGTATAATTTCTTCTCAGTCCTTTGACCTACAGCTAAACAAACTGTATTTTGCAATGCATAATGCACCCCCATGTATAATGCACACCCACATTTTTTGTGCACTGTACATGGGATTATTATATGCATGGCATGTAATCATTATACTCATGTATAATGCACATCCTTATTTTTCCCTAAAATTTTTGGGAAAAATTGCTCATTACACATGGGAAAATACATTACTTCTACTAATCCAGAATACTTTCTCCATGAAGACA